TAGGTTCAGACTCCCCAAAAGACTCCCTGTGGACAAGCCTGGGGCAGGGACTTCCTTCTCACGCCAAGTCCTCACATCTCTGTCCCATCCACCTCCTGCAGTGACAGCCCTGATGCAGTGGAGCTGATCGCCAGCCTCCCTGGACAAGCCAGGTAAGAACCCAGCCCCTCCAAGCTGCGTGCCAGTCACTGTCGTGCCCCATGCCCGAGCAGGGTTGATGCATGGCCTGCGATGAGCACAGCCCAGGGGTGACGCTTCCAACCTTCTGTGGTCCCTGCCTTGGGGATCCCCCAGCATCAGGCAGGGTGGGAGCATTCGTCCACCATGGAAGTAGAGGGAATCATACTGGGAAGGCTGGGAAAGTACCAGTACTGGCAGGAATAGTGCCAAGGTCTAGCAATGTGCCAGAGCACTCACACATTGTGTGGGCTGGGCACGCAGGGAAGTTGGAAGGGAATGGGCTTTCCAGAAGCAGCTAGAAAACCTGTGCAAGGACACAGGCTCCAGAACTGTGTTAGATCTTGCTGGACTGGCAGCTCCCATCTCCATGCACTGCTGCATTAGCAGGGCTGTGGTCAGAGAGGCCCCAGGAGGATGGTCCTGTGGGTAGGTGGGCTGGATCCGCAATTGGGAAGCTGAGATAAGGGATCCAAGGGCCAGGCATGCTCGTCCTTTCAGAGCAAAGAGTGCCCACGCCAGGTAGATAACGCTCCTGTAGCCCCAGATAAGGTCCTGGATTGTTCCTCCCAGTGTTCAGGCACACCTCCCCTGTACCTCCAGCTGCTGCTTGGTGTGCATGCGGGATTGGTCACAGACCAGCATCCAAGTCACAGAGCAGGTCTGGGTGCCTGGCAGCCCCCTTCACTTTGCTCTTCTCAGGTACGGAGTCAACAAGCTGGAGGGGATGCTGCGTCCCCTCGTTGAAGATGGTCTGAAGTGTGTGCTCATCTTCGGGGTGCCCAGCAAGGTCCACAAGGTCAGCGTGCATGATGGTGGCAAGGGGCTCGGGGTAGCCACAGGGGTGTGGGAGAGCAGTGTGGGACTGGGGGGCAGTCTCCTGATCAAACAGGAGCAGTTCAGGGTCTCTGGGCGTGCTTGCGCCTCGCTCAGCAGAGCAGAACGGGGATGGGAGACTGCAGTGACACCCAAAATGCTCCTAGTGTCCTCTGTCCCTTTGAACAAGCAGTGTATCACTGCAGGGCAGAGGAGAGCATGGAGCTCTCTGCTGCAGAAAGCAGGGTGGATGACTTGAGAAGAGCATCTATATGGCTTCCCCTGCCCCAGCTCTGTGCTGGGAGCTGTTGCAGGTGGCCCCAGGACCCACACTCACTGCTCAGAGGCACTACTGTCACCCTCTTCCATCATCGGTGGTCACGCCACCCTGCTTTACATGGTCTTGTGGTTCAGAAAATGTTTCTTGGGCAGAACTGCTGCCACAGAGGAGTTGGCAGGACACCCTCAGCTCTGCCTGCTGAAGCATTTCTCCTTCTCACAGGATGAGAGAGGCTCTGCTGCTGATGCAGAGGACACACCTGCCATCCAGGCAGTCAGGAAGATCCGCTCCACCTTCCCAGAGCTGCTCATAGCCTGCGACGTCTGCTTGTGCCCTTACACGTCCCATGGGCACTGTGGTGAGCACACAGCCTGGGCTCCTGGGCTGCTCTCTGGGAACCTTCCCAGGACTTGGAGTCTCTGGGAGTTTGCTCTTTTTTGTTGAGGAGCTCTGGGTGCTGGTGGGGCCTGGCCAGCTCCCACCCCGAGACTTGGCTCCCCAGTACTGGTGCAGTTGAGCATGAGAGACCTTTCCTAGGTTTTGAGAGCAGGGTGGGAGGCACAGGAAGGCACCCACTCCCTGGACATCTGAATCTGTCTGAGCACCCATCTGTGTACCCCGTCTGTCTTCCCTTCCCTGGAGCACCCACGTGTTGTGTCCAGTCCCTGGAGGGCTGCGCCGTTGGTCTCCTGGCCGTTATCCAGCTCCCTTAACATGTTCCCCGCTGTTGCTCTGAGCATCTGCGTAGCAAGAGCCACGTTCCCACCCTTGGGATTGAGGCAACCAGCTGTCCAGCCCCTCACCTAACCCCAGGTTTGTCTCCCAGGCATCCTGCGTGAAGACGGCACCATCCAGAATGAGCTCAGCTGCCAGCGGCTGGCAGAAGTGGCGCTGGCCTATGCCAAAGCAGGTGAGGAGTCTCCTGGCAGCAGTACCCAAGTTTGACTCTGGCAGATTCACCCCTTCTCGCCTTGAGCAGGCACAAAAGCAAACCAGGCCTGGCTCCAACAGGGTGTGCTTTTACTCCGAGGCAGGGGAGTGCCCCCCTGCCCTCCACATGATGGGCCCAGCAGAGCTGCAGGCACCCAGGCCCCCTCTGGTCCTGGGGTCACCTCCTCTGCAGGCAGAGTCGCAGCCTCAGGCACCTCTCCGCATCTCTGCTCTTTCC